CAGGCAGCTCCCACCTCTGGTAGGAAACTAGTTTACTCTGAGATGGTCCTTGAATAGGTGGGTTTGCACCTGTAGACACTGGTATGTATGTGCACCCTGAGCAGCTTTGGCCTGTTCTGGACATATCTCAAAACCTGGGACCCTTTTCCTTCTCACCACTGTCCACCCTGCAGGCTTGCTCTCCTGAGCAGTCGGGACCTAGCATGTAGAGAGGACAGAAGCTGCCAGAGACTCAAGCACGGACCCTGGGCGGGTGCAACTGTCTGTCCCCTCACCTATAAGAGGAATAAACAGACCTTCCTACTGGGGACCCTCTGAGCACTGGAGCAGACATGAACATGAACAGAATTCTCTTGTTCTTTCATTTGCAGGTTCTCTGTCTCCTCCTTTTGGCTGCCTGTTGGGTTTGTGACTATGTATTTTACATAGACCTCCTTCTCCTCTCAATATCTAGTGCAGGACAGTGTAAAACACTGTTTCTGACTAATTAGATCAGGCAAAGCCTCAAAGCCTCCAGCGACCACCTCTGCCTACAGACTGATAGGAAGGGGCAGAGGTGGGGATAAGAGATGGTGAATAAAATTCAAGGGCCCTGAGGAGCAGGTGCTGCTTAAGACTCAATGGGAGACTGTGCTGGAGGATCCTGTGGTACTGGTACCTTAGGGCAGCAGCTGTGTGTGATAGGATGGCAGCCACAGCTTCAGGATGTGTGCCCACATCCACAGGAGCCCTGGATGTGCAGTCAGGGCCATGGAGCACACCTTGAGCTGGTCTTGCTCCTAGGTCCTGGCCCTGTAGCCTAGGTCTCTCTGTCCGGGCTCAATGGCCTTCACTCTACAAACTATACATGGTCCTCTATGGCTCTCCCAGTGGCAAGCAGCTCCTGGTGCTTAAGAATGGATGTCTTCTCCGCTCAGCCTCACAGACCTGCTTCTCACTGAGGAAGCTGAGGGGAGGATAAGACCAAATGACCCTCTGGGAAGCAGACCACCCTTGCCTTCTGATGAGTTGGAGGACCAGCCCTGTGGCTTTTCACTTTCAAAATCAGGGAAAATTGCTTCCTCGACAAGTCCATTGCTATCCCCTGTTTCCAGAAGGGTGCCAAAAGCTGGAAATACCATGTGGATATGTGGAGATCAGTTGCAATGTGAAACCTAACTACAATTTGGGTGTCTTTCAAGTTTTAATAAAACCTACAGCTAATAATTAAACTGGCAGCAGTGAAAGGGTAGGGGGCTCCTTCCAGGTGAGGCTGTGGGGCCTTGGAGGGACCTCCTTGTAAAGTGGTCTCACGCCAGGGTAAATGCCTCAACCAATACAGCTGCCTCCTGGAGGGCATTTCACCCAACCCCAAACCAAATCAAGCCCCCACCCTGATTGCATACAGTTGAGTTTTCTGTGGTTTTGGAAATATCTCAAGGACTGATGGGTTTTTGTTTTTTCTTCTCTCCTAAAATTTCTGTGTGCTGATTTGGGGCATCCACGGAAGATCACTTGTGAAAACTCCCCCCGCCGCCCCGCCTCTTTCCACTGTGCCCCTATTCCAAGCTCTGCTTTCGCAGGAATAGGACCAAATGTCTGCAAAGCTCTGGACAGAGGAGCACAGCCGGAAAATGAGGTGGCGAAGGTCTCCGGCTGTAAACCTGGACTGGCATTGGCAGCAGTGTCATGATGAGGGCTGAGGCCACTCTTCAGTTGGGGGCTAAGAAGGGCAGTGAGTCCCCTCCAGCACAGACATTGCTGAACTGTGGCTGTAGCCTTGGAGGTCACACCTGCTGGGCAGGTGAGCAAGCACAGCAGCCTGCTCCCCTGCGGCCTGCATGCGAAGGACCTACTTGAATTTTTACTGGTTGAAAGAAAATCAAACAATACCATTTCGTGGCGCATGGAATTCCAATTTCACAGGTAGTTTTATTAGAACCAGCATACCCACTGCTCACAAGTCCAGGCCATCTTCACATAAACAGCAGACCTAAGATTTCGTGACAGACACCAATATGGCTCAAAAGATGAAGTTACTCCCTGTACTTTTACAGAAAGTCTGCTGACCCCTGCCCTAAGCTAACAAAACAATCAGCCCCCTCTTTTATTGATTTTTAGAGAGAGAAGAAGGGAGAGGGATAGAGAGAAACATTGATGAGGAAAAACATCATTGACTAGCTTCCTCCTGGACATCCCTGAGCCCACAATCCAGGCATGTTCCCTGACCAGAAATCAAACTGTGACCTCTTGGTTCATGGGTTGATGCTGAATTACTGAGCCACACCAGTAGGGCAGAATCAGCCTTTTCTGATGAAATGTTAGAGCTGTTTCATTTAGCTGCATTTGAAGGATTTACATTGTGTCTATCTTGATATAGAGAGTAACTAAGCTCACATTAAGTTTTAGGAACTGCGAACATCTTACAGGGTGATAACAAACTGACAAAAATACTGACAGGGTAAAGGGCAGACAGATTTTGGTGCAGGAATGATGCATGTGGAGAGCCCCATGCATGGATGCATGCATGGCCCCACACACAGGCCCAACATCAGTGTCAGAAGGTAAGCTCCAACTCAGGAGAGGGAAAGCAGGACCGGAGACAACATGCTCTATGCCAACTAATGATGATGATGACAATGGCTCTAGAGGGTCTAATAACCTGATCCACTTGGTGGGAGCCAACAGGGCACGTGCTATCTGGATGCAAGAGATCACTAGCCTGCATGCTGAACTCCTTTCTCCGGTCTAGCATCTGAGCATCATAAGGTCCACTCCCCTCATGTTTCTCCCTAGGGTGAAAGTGTAAGGTGAAGACAGTGCACCAGGTGAGGGGGACAGTGAAGATGAAGACAGAGAATTGGCAGTGGGAACCATGGAGGGTGAAGTTGGATCGCCCTGGATGTGCTAGTCTAAGGAATTGGTATTTGTGCTCCTAGTGGGGAGGGGCCAGGAAAGGTGGAGTTAGTGCACCTAGGGTGGGAAGCAGTGGGAGGAAGAATTGAGCACCTGGGGGGGGAGCAGGGGCTGTGGGAGTTCTTAGTGTCAAGGTTTTTGGCGCTTTTGCCTCAGCCTGGCTATTGTTAGTGGGTTTAAACAGATAGGTTTCTGTGTTTTGGGCTCGAGTAATCAACTCAGATGCATTTTCTGCTACTGGAAGCTTCTAAGTGCCTCAGGAGGAAGCGTAGCCCTGCGACACCCTGACCTTGGACTTCTGGCCTCCAAACCTGGAGAGCACACTCCTGTTGTCGTATACTCTGTGTGGAATTCCTAAGGTCAGCTCAGAAATCTAGCACTGCCCAGGGCAGTTCCCTGAACCCACCTAGGACTCCAAACACAGCAGCACAGGGCCTGAAGGCGCCGTTCCAGGAACTGTAGACACTCCTCAAGATCCAAGGAGCCTCTCTGTGTACAGCCTCCCAGGATGCTTTTTCGAAGCGGTCTGGGAGATGCACGCTCCTCCACTTCCCCCCCACCCCCCAGGGGGCCCTCTCATGGACACCACACCAAGCAAAAAGCAGCATCAATGTGTATCTTCACAAAAAATCCTAACACTACCATTTCTCTTTTGTTTCTGGACAGAAATGGGGCAGTAAAAGCAAAAATCAAAACCTTTTAAACAGGTGCAATATATACTATTTTCACCTTTGGCTAAAAACTGAGCAATGAAATAGTATTTCAGGTGTTTACTAGTATATGATGACCTCTTAGCTTTAGTTAGAAAATGACAATACAACCAAAAAGAAACTGGCTTCCCACCAGAGAGATGGAACAAGTGAGGGCGGTGGGTTGCTTAGCTTTCCACAGAGGGGAGCAGGCTCAGGCATATGGTCCTGGAGAAGGGAGAAGGGAGAAGGGATTGTGCCGATACAAGGTACACCTGCAGTGCTTAGACCCACAGTTAAAAAAAAGCAGATTTTATTCACAGAGGCTTAAACCTTCCTTTTACGCCCAACAAGAGTGGAGAAAAAGGACGATAATGCAGCTACTGGTGATGCTGGAGACCTGGGATAAGGCTATGCAAAGTGGTCCCTCAGTGCTGGGTGCAGACCGGCCTCTGAATGAAGAGCCACCACGCAGCTGTGCAGGGCTCACCAGGGCTCAGCCACGTGCTTGAGTGCATGGGTGCTCCTGACGGCACCAGCAGCTCGAGAGGGCCTTGGCGGGATACCGTTTGCTGTGTTCACAGGCAGAACTCCTCTCCTGCAGCTGCACCTTCAGGGCCCTGCAGAGGACCCCTCTGTGGCTGCCCAGGTCCTTCACAGCAGCCTTTGTCCTGAGGCAGGTATGCTCTGAGGCAGGATCGCAAGTTTTTCTCTGACCCTGAGAATGACCTCCTGTGGTCATCTGAAGGCAGCATGCAGGGGTTGAGGACAACATACTGAGATGTGATTCTCATCAAAAGCTCTCACCTCTACCCTCCCTTGTCCTTCTAGGTCAGTTTTTTCATTCGTCGATTGTGCTTGTCAATGGTTAAGGTTGCCCGGTCCACAGCAGTGGCGATGCCATCCAATGCCTCATCCTGTCTCTCCAGCTCCGCCTCAGCATCCAAGGCAAGACCTTTCAGCTTCCCAAGGATCTGGAGAGAAGCACAAAGACAGGAGGGGCTTACTTTCCTTAAACTCTCAAAATAGACTTCTTTCCACCATTTTTACAATGCTTAAGGAATTTTGTAAGTCAGTGGTGATAACACACCCTCTGTCCCACGGTGGAGCCGAGCTACAGCTTGGGTTGGGGTCTCAGCTCGACTCTGCCACTGACTGGAGAGCTGTTGGAAGATGATGCATTTGCCCCTGGCCTTGCTCCAGACATGGGCAGCACTCTGACCTCGAGTCCCTGGGGCATTACTGTTCCAGCCCACAGTATGCTGTGTCACCAATGCCTTACCACATCCATGAGGAATTCCAGTGGTAGTAGAGGGGCGAAAGACACAGGAGAACCAGAGAGCTGGGGCCAACAACTAGGATCCAAGTTCCAGCTCCTGCCCAATCACTATGTTCATTACCTGTCTACCCCCAATTACCTAACTGAACACTGAAGCTCAAAAAACAATATGTAAAAAGAAAAGCAAAATCCTTTTCTTGTCTGTGTGTTTGAAATATTTCACATATAAATACAAAAGGCAGCATAGAATACAGCACTAATAAGTCAAATCACACAGCACAGGCTGCCCC